ATATATTTATATATATATATATATATATATATATATGTATATATATATGTTCAGTTTTTACAACCATTAACCATACACTTTCGTGCGCCTGTTTTGGTTGCTGTCTGTTGGTTGCCCATTGGGTGAAAGAGCAAAATGTAGATTGAAATGCCGAAGGAAATTCAAGCGGAAGGTGGGAAATTCATATAGGGTGGTGTCAGGAAAATAATGAGTGGATGCACGAGCGCCACTGTTTGCGACACCCAGCCATATCACTCAGTGTAGCTAACCATTGGTGACCATCAACTCGGNGAGCTTAACGGGACCTATGTGACCTAGTCTCCTGGTTAGGGTTTTCATACCCTCATGCCAGGTCTTAGTTTGACCACCCTTTATCTTTTTCCAATCGCTACCTGCCTCGGCAAACATCGCTCGCCGTAGCAACCTATCTGGCGATATACGTAACACATGTCTCCATATTTATATTTCACGAAGTTGCAGAACGCCTGCTACTCATCTACCCACCCGCCCCTCTTCCGGTGTACTTCAAAAAATCCTTATTTTTGGGTATTACAATACTCTCGTCTCTCCTTGTTTTCAACCAGGACAAGGATATCAGGACAGGACAAAGACACAAGCACCCTACGTTGAAGAAGCTAAAGTTCAACTGAGCTAGAATCGGTGGTTTATTCTTCTGAACGATTTTATTAGATACCAATTCAAGAAGTCCCCGTAATAATTCGGGATATTTCCGGAATTCATTCTTTTTATCTCTCCCTTTGAATCAAATTCGCGCGATAGTCGTTAGCTTTGTTGTAAATTGGTTAAGCTCATTGCTTCAAAGGCTCATTAACATACACCACAAAATACCCTATATAGACATGATACGATATATGACATGATACGGGAAGATCCTTATTTGATTCAGGGACATTTTGCATTCAAAATCTGTGGAATTTGCTGATGACCTCTTGGTCTTAAGGAATACACGTGCGAAAATAGTGGTATAGATTTACTCCCAGGTGGCCGACCTTCGGATTTGGAGTATGTAGACGGAATTGTGCTACTAAGTGAAGGTTCAGGTTAGTTGCGAGCTTTTCTGGATAGTTTGAATGCCAGTGTAGCCATATTCGGTATGCGTTTTGCACCTTCAGAGTGTAAAATGCCACTACGAGACTGGGTTGGTCCAGCACCCAGCCTCACTCTAACTGGGGAAGTAATAGAGCAGGTGGATAAGTTTTGTTATTTGAGCAGCTACATCTCACTCGGTGGACGCATCACGGATGAAGTGTCAGCTCGCATACAGAAGGCTCGGTTGGCATTTGCTAACTTGAGACATCTGTGGTGCCGTCGCGATATCCGGCTGTCTGTGAAGGGTCGAGTGTATGCCGCGACAGTTCGGCCAGTCCTGCTATACGGTGCAGAAACTTGGCCATTCAGAAAACAGGATAAAGATAAACTGTCGGTGTTTGAACACCGCTGTCTACGCAGCATTGCACGAATCTGGTGGGGCAGCCGGACGAGCAATGCTGATGTTAGGCGCAGAGTTTTAGGCAACCGCGGTCGCCCACTGGAGCAAGTGGTCGACCTCCAGATTACGTTGGTTGGGGCATGTGTTACGCATGTCACCAGATAGGTTACCACGGCGAGCGATGTTCGCCGAAGCAGACACCGAGTGGAAGAAGGCTAAGGGTGGTCAAGTTAAGACCTGGCACGAAGGTATGAAAACCCTGACCAGGAGTCTGGGTCAGATGGGTCCCGTTAGGCTCCTTAGATGGGAACCTCGGGATGGTCGTAACCGATATTTAGAGACTGAGTGATATGGTTGAGTGTCGTAAACAGTGGTGTTCGTGCATCTCAATTTCTTTGCATCATTAATCCACTGATCTCAATTTTCTCTTCGATCCTACTTCCTACCTTCCTGTTTTCATCTTATTGTTGATTCAAGTGGGCAGCCAAAAGACAGCAACAAAAAGCGACGCACAGAAGTGCATGCCTAATGGTCGTTTGAACTGAATTCAATACCCGCTTCATTGGAGCCCGTTGGTGCTCTTATTTGCCTTCATACAGGCAAAAGTTGTTCGCTACCTGCTCTTTACGCTGGTTATTCTAAGAAAGATCGAGTGTTTTGGGATAGTTATCACGATTTTGATCGTTTCTAAGCATCTTTTTGTTGAAAATTAGAAAGCTTTTAAAATTGTTTTGACATTATCCCTAATTTATAAATTCGTCGGTTTTAGATATCTGGCTTCCGTAACTGCACTGTTTTGCCCAGCGAGCTGTTCCTAATACCGCTCGTGCAGTAGCGCCCTTTTTGCTTTGAGCTGAACCCACATGAGTCGTAAGCAGATATTGTACAATACAGCATTTTGTTTTAGCCGAGGAAGAAGAAGAGTTTCAGTCAAAAGATGAGGATGAAGTATCCATACCCAGGGCTTCATTGAACAAGTTCATTAAAGAAATTGTTCCCGAGGCCCGATTGACCACAGAAACACGTGAACTATTACTCAATTGTTGCCATGCATTTATTCACAAATTGGCTACGGAAGCAAACATTGCTTGCGCCTCTGCTAAACGAAAAACAATCAGTCCGGAACACATTTTTCAAGGTGAATTCCTGAAAGACTCGTCCCTATACTTCGCTTTTAGGGTTGGATGCAATGAATCTTTCAGCATATAAAGAACACGCGGTGGTTGCATCCGAAGAAGCCAAAGAAGAGTTGAAAGGACGACGAATGCTTAGTGCTAGTTACCGATTCAAACATCAAGACAGCGAAGAATTGGAACGTTTGATGAAGGAGCAACAGGAAATTTTCATGCAGGTTCGGTTCTCTACTTTTTTAATTGATTGCTTCATTCATTTCAACTCCATGTGGTCAGTTAAAATAAACGAAGACGTAAACCAGTCGCCACTTACTGTGACCAATGCTACTACTAGTAATAATCTTTCTATCGCGTATCTCCTGTAGCTCGCACCAAGGTGCATGGGTAATGGTTATAAACGCTAAATCGAAACTGATGTAACCTGTAATAGAGGGGATATGGAAAGAAATCAAGCTGCTACGTTAAATTGGCCATTGAGTTTCTCTTCCCCAAAACGAGTTTCTCTTCATTTGTCAATTACGGTGACCTCTTAAACTTAGGTTAACTGAATCACATGTAACGCGAGCATTGCGATCATGAAATGGAATGTTGCAGGTCTGATGGATTTTTTAGTTACGGTTCCCGAACGAACATAACCAAACCGGGCTTAGAATTTATTGAATATATTTAGAAGTTTCGGAGAAACCAGTGAGTGTAAAGTGGTAAATATAATGTAAAAAGGATGCTCAAAGCGGACAACCGAATGAGCAACCGAAAAGCGGCTTTTAGTTTCCATACATTGGGATGATGTAGAACAATCGGATCATTTTCACGGGTTTAAACGTTAATTGTAGGCATTTAGATAAGAGTGCTGCGCTTGATTCCACGAATAAACCGCATCGAAAGTACCCAATGATCTAGGCGAAATTTATTCTTCTCACTCACTTACTCAGGCGCGTGCTGACTTTGTTGGTGGTCAGTGGGATCGAGATGACCTTCTAGTCGCCTCCGAATTGGCAGCCGCCGATGCGGCGGCCACTCTGAACGCACAGACAACACAAGAGCGACAACCTGCCGGTACCACGTCTGATGCGGATCACCCAAACCTTGACCAAGTAGCCCTTCCCGGTCCGGATGATACAGTGAACTTGACTAATCGGATTCCTTTGTGCACCGGATCCGGCCGATTACTCGGGGCAACCACAGTGGAAGATGAGGACAATTATGATGAATGAAGGTTATTTACTCGTTTGTTCTCGCACAATTGTACGATTTCGTTTCTCCCTTTGTGGCTGTAATATTTTTTCACTTTCGAACCATTTGTAAATAGATGTGTCAATTATGTGTAATTACTCCTCCACGTCCGAGGTCTTTTGGCACAGATATAGGGCTAATGAACCAGTTGATCCATTAGCCAAACGTTTTTGGATAAAGGGGCAACAGTTTTGGAATCAAAACACACGTGTTATATGTATATTAAGATGACTTCAATTGACACACCTACTTCTGGCCGGTCGGTCTTAGGGTACAAAGTTTATTTTTGAGATCAAAGCTCGAGGTTAAGGAGACGTTTGATAGGCAATTCGATTGTAACTCTGATACTTGTCTGTCTCATACTGTTTTGAGATTGATTTAAGAAACTCACATTAAATTAGAAAATTCTCAAGTATTTTAGAACAATTGTCGGTTTGATTTGAGAACGAAATCAATAGGTCAATAGGCAAACAGTGAATAAGGACATTCTCTGTTCTTCTATTAGGAAGTTTCCCCAAGGCGTAATGCGGATTGCAGTTGATAAGATCAACTTCTTTCGCGATCCATGCGTTTGAGCAGTGCGGGGCCGGGGGTAGTCAACTAGGTTGGAAGAGACGAACCACTGGTGGACCGTGGGACAAAACAGAAAAGACGTTCATGTGGAGTGGCGGTTGTGGTGGTGCATAAGAGAGAACGGATCAGTTGCAATGCGTCTGGTAGAACGGATTCCCATTGGGAGCCCCTCGTCTTCAGTTCCAGGGAAATAGCTTTCCAAAGAGTACCGTTCAATCGCTCAACCTGACCATTAGCTTGCGGATTGTGGACGGTCGTATGACCGATAGCCACTCCTTTATCTCGTAAGAAATTCTATTGTTCAGACGATAAGAACGATGGACCCCCTCCGAATGGATACAAGCTGGCATCCCGAAGTTCGAAAATAGTTAGTAGAGGCAGTTAATGACCTTAGACTATTGCATATCTGGAACCGGGTGTATTCGTCTATGAGCGTCAGAATGTACCAATTACAAGACGTTTATGGTAACGGCCCTTTGAAGTCGATACTTCAAATGGTTGCGTAGCCTTGATCAGGTGCCCCGTGAGCGACTTGTGAAAGCGCGGTTTCAATTCTGCGCATCGAGAAGTCATTGTTTTTACTTCCTCAACCAAGTACGGTAGATTTTTGGAGCGCACAAATTGGATCATACGCGTGATTCCAGAGTGGCAAAGCGAGTTGTGTAGTGTCTTCAGTTTCTGGCAGTCGAACTTGGAATCACATACTTTACGGGGAGTGCGTCCGCGACGGAGTCGTCTTTACCAGGTCCGTATACTATGTCATAGTGGTAAGCCGACTGCTTTCCATCTCTGGATTTTGTCGTTTTTCATTTTACTAGTGTGGTTGCTATTGAAGATATAGGCTACCGAACGTTGATCCGTAGTAAGTTTAAAGTGTCTGCCCAGAAGATAGTGTCGCCACTTGCGAATTGCTTCGACTATGGTGCAGGCCTCATTTTGGACAGCAGAGTGGTATCGTTCGCTTTGAGTCAGAGTGCGCGAAAAGAAAGCTACAGGGAGGTTATTTTTGGTGAGTGATGCTGCTATAACTACATCGGAAGTGTCTGCTGCTACCACCAAAGGTATCTCATGATCTACGGTCACGAGCATGGCAGTTTCCAAGTCTTGTTTGAGTCCCTCAAATGGGCTTCTGACGGATGGTGATAAAGGGAATGTTTTGTTCTGAACTAGTGGGTTGATTTTGTCCGAAAATGACGGTATCCACTGCGACTAGTAAGCGAAGAGACCAATCACACGACGTAGGGACTTACTGTCTGCAGGTGGAGGAGGTTCACGCAGGGGTTTCATTCTATCTTGGTCGAGTTTGATAAGGCCCTGTGATATGTGATACCCATGGAGCTGGATTTCTTTCCGAGCGGCTACAGTTTTTGATTCATTCAGAGTGGTGCCATATTTGGCGACGGCTTTCAGGAAACGTTCGAGATTTCGATCATGGTCCTCCGGGGTCGAACCACATACGGTGACGTTGTCTATGTATGCGAACGTGTTCTTCAGGCCTGCTTTTAAAATTTTGTCAATTGTGCGTTGAAAACAAGCGACACCGTTAGTAACCCCGAACGGTATTCGGCAGAAATGAAAGAGATTGCCACATGCTTCAAATGAGGTGTAAGGCTTCTCGTGGTCTTTGATGGGAATCTGATGGTAGGCACTTCTCAAATCAAGGGTACTGTATACGGCATAGCGTGAGATGTATTCCACCATTGTATCGATGCGGGGTAGTGGGTAAGCATCTAGTTGAGTGAGGCGATTGATCGTCTGGCTATAATCAACCACCATTCGTTTCTTGTGGTTGACGTTTTTGGTGACAAGGACTTGGACCCTTCGCGGGGAGTTTGAAGGTTCAATGATAGCATCTCTTAGAAGGCGTTGCTCTTCGAACTTAATGAACTGTACATCTTCAGCTGAATATCTTCTGGATTTGGTAGCGATTGGTTTGCAATCAACAGAGGGGTTGGCGAACAAGGGAGGTGATTCAATTTTGGCTGCTGAGAGGCTGTAGAGTGAGAAAGGACCATGTTTGCCACCGAACGGTATTNCTCTCATGCAAACCAAGAAAGTTATGGCCAAGTAGTAAGTACATCAACACAAATTGCGCACTGCGTATGTTTTCGTAGGAAGCGTCATGGTATCGGATGGTCACGTTACAATAACCAGTGATAGCATAAGATAAGGAGGTGGAGGTCGTAGTAATTTTAGAGTCACAAGGATAGACTTTC